ATGCATAAACATCCCCGATATAATATTGTATTGATATACTTATTTAAAAATAATCATTGGACATTATTCCCATAAAAGAACTAGTTCATCTAATAAGAATTAAATGCCACGGCCAAAGCGAGATAACCGAATTCTACTATAAATAAAATAAGAAACAAAAAATTCGAGTATCCAACCGAATTCTAGCGTTTGTTTTGCACTTTGCATGATTAAAAGTTGAAATCCAACCTGCCCAATTCGAACCAGCAACCTAAGGATCACCTGTTCTGTAAACAACCAACTACAATCCTCTGCTCTACCAACTGAGCTAAGGTCGGTTGACATTAATTTTCAATATACAAATATATTATACTAGTTTGTAGGACATTAAAATTGAAACACCAATTTAAAAAATGCTAAATTACTAATAGCCAACATATGGAGAACATAGTACAAGATTAAGGTTCCAAATAATATAAAGGTTTCTTGTGGAGAGTGAAAAATGATGACTTATTGGTGAAGAGGAGAGTGGGCACGGCAACACATTATTATATTTTTAGTGAGGAAAATTAATATATTTTTCGTGTTCTTCATCAATTGAATTTTTTGTTGAAATTGTCTGAATGAGTTTAGCTCACTGGTTTAGTAGACAGTATTTGAAAGAAGAAAATAAGATTCAAAATTCGGTAGTTGCAGTGTGAAGATTATGTCCAAAGTGAACAAATTAGCTATATCCTCCAACCTGCCGGATTCGAACCAACGACCTAAGGATCACCTGTTAGGTAAGCAACCAACTACAGTCCTCCGCTCTACCAACTGAGCTAAGGTCGGATATTGTGTATTTTTGATATACAATTTTATAATACGGAGTACTATTTTGTATGACGTTAAAATAGAACACCAATTAAAAAAAAAATGATAAATTACTAATAGCCAACATGGACAACATAGTAGAAGATGAAGATTCCAAATAATATAAAGGTGTTCTTGTGGAGAGTGAGGTGAACTGGTGAAGAGGAGAGTGGGCACGGCAACAAATTATTATATTTGTAGCGAGGAAATTAATATATTTTTGGTGTTGTTCATCAATTATATTTGTAACCTTTTCTGACGGCTTGTTGGTCACGCCTTAGCTGAAATTTTATCGGTGCTCCGTCGGTGCATTGTTGACCTGCTATTGCATGTCACTATTACGATTTTGGGTCTTGATGCACTAAATTAATATATTAACGTGTCTAATTACAACTTTGAAAAGTTCAAGAGTCTAATTGACTTCTTACTTGAATGGTGTATTTAACCATTTTTCCCTTTTCTTTTCATTTTTTCATTTTTGAATCCATTGTTCAGAATTAGGATAGGGTAAGGGTAATATGTTTTATGACTACTATAAGATTCGAATCCAATAATAAGATAGCAAAAGTATGTACGCATATACACATGGTAATAAATTTCAAATTTGATAGTACATGCAGAGTATAGTAAAAAAGTCACCAGCTAAACGTAACCTAAAATTTGATTGTGAGAGGTATAATTTATTTAATTCTACCTTAGTAATCATCGTTTGTGTAATTGTGTGTGTATATATAGATTTTGAGTAATGATCTAACGGTTGTAGTTTAGAAGGAATAATTCTTGCCCCATGCCTTTGCCAAAATACAAATTCCTTATATCTTCATCACTATGAGACTAATCTAAAATCGACTTAAATTATATCTGTAAAGTTTCACTCTTATTTGAAGGACTAGTTTTTTACGCGCATTGCGCGATTGGGATAATGCCCAATGCTTTTTTTTAATAAGTACTTTAAAGTATATTAAGGCAGGATTATATTAAAATTGTTCATGCATAGATAATTGAAAGTTGAATTTGCGTATTTAAATAGGTAATTCTTCTCCCAAAGGTTGAGTCCCCAACCCCAAGGGCCCCCCACACTCCGACCCGACAGAGCATTGTGGGAAGTTGTAAATCACGGTGACTCAATGGTTCAGCAGACAGGGCCAAATGCTGATACGCACAAGGAATCTGCCCACTTTGGACATAATTCCCGCACTACCGCCGCCGAGGTTCAAACCTTCGTCTCTTCTCCCAAATACTACCCACTAAACCATTGAGCTAAGCCCGTGCGGGTTAAATAGGTAATTCTAAGTTTACAAATGCAAGATAATATAGTCAAGATTGATTATAATTGTCAATAAAATAATTGTATAGGTATAGTTGAAACCAAATACGGGACATAAGGGAGAACAAATAAAAATTAGGACATAAAATATTAAATATATACTAATATTGTTTGAGGAGATTCCAACATTAGGATTTGTGGTTAAGTTCTATTAAGACTTTAATATTAGAATTAGATTAATGGTGTAGTTATAATTCTATATTAGACTTTAATATTAGAATTAGACTAACGGTGAATTAACGGAAAAGTTAAATGCATAATCATATAATTAAGGATAAATTAGAAAATCTTAAAAGAAAAAATTAAAACCTGAACAATATGAATCATTCATTTGATTTAATAATTTGGAGGTCATTTTTTCTACCCAATGTTAATAATTAAATAAATTCGCTGGTCAAATCCGCTAACTGCTGATTGTCAAACAAGGACATTGCGAGGAAGTTCTCACTTTAATTTGTTGTGTGATTTGAATACTCTCATTGTCACAAAATCTCTCAAGTAGTTAATATGGTTGGCTTTATTAATTATATTTTTTTTTAATTTTTTCATGGTATTAATAAAATACTTGGTAAATAAATATATAGCATTATTTTGTATTATAACTTTGATATTTAATTAGAAAAATAGTGCACAAAAAAGATGATAGATAATGTAGTGAATATAATCAATTGATGAATTTGAATGTAAAAATTTTTACATTTGAGAAAAATAAAGACAATATAACTAATGAAAATATTTCTTTTAATTAATTTATTGATAATTAATAAATTTTTTTCACTGAATAAAGACATTGTAAGGATAATGTAGCGAATATAATCAATTAATAAATTTGAATATAAAGAATTTTTATATTGAAGAAAAATAAAGACAATATAACTAATAAAATTATTTCTCTTATTTAATTGATTGATAATGAATAATTCTTTTTTTTTTTTTTTGGAATAAAGGCATTGTGGACACATAATTCTAAATTAAAGAAATGCATATGTATTATTTTTTGTTGTAACTACTAAATTATTATTTATATAATTTAATAAGAGTAAAATAGAGTACTAATTATGCCAACTTTGATTGGGATGAGGTTCGAACCTAAGTCCTTTTTTTATTGAAATCAATGAGTAAGTTAACGGTGAACTAACGGCAATTCTTAAAATTTTAACGGAATTAGTAACGGTGTGTGGGTATTTTAGGAAATTTTAGTGTAAAATTTAAATCTGATCAATCTTTTAATTAATCTAAGCCATTCATTTGATTAAAATCTGTGACCGCCATTTTTTCTACCCATTATAGGCCTAACTCTCTTGGGCTCTTATTAGTATAGTAGAAAGAGTCTAACTCGGGTTCAAACTTCTGACCTTACAACAAACATAAAGATAATTATAATCATGATAACCGAACTTCAAAAAGAATTAGTCAAAAATAAGTGAGTAGGGGACTATTGACCTTTTGAAAAGAAACAAAAGTAAAAATTCAAAATTAGCCTAACAAAAACATGTTCAAATACTTTTATAAATTTATTGTCATGTGGATAATTGTTGTGAACTTGTGATAAGATTGAGAGGATTGGAAAGTCAATGTAATGCATATGAAATTCCATAAATTTTGTGAGGAAAATATCAAATATGGCCGAATGATATAAAAAAAAATAAAACATCACTAATTTGATCATGGAACATAATTAACGTAAATTATTCCCTGGTTTTGTGGCGGCTGCTCTCCTAAGATTTAGTAAACCTTGATTTAGTCCATGCAATATGGACTAGTGTTATTATTATAAACCTTTTTTTTTTTTTTAAAACGTTATTATTATAAACCTAAGATACCAAAGACTTGCAAGTTAAAAACAATAAAAAAGAGGTTCTAACTTTGCTTGAACATATTTAAATTCAAATCTTATAAATAAAATATCGAATGCTGATTAAATTAATTTCTCGTATGAAATTTAAGATACAAGAGGGAAGAATTATTTTTTACCCTCCACACAGCCAAAAAGTCAACACTGATGGCTAACTACAGCAGTTGGCAAATTATACCGTGCACCAGGACACACAATGCATTTTGCGCCCTGACCTAAAACGACATCATTTTGTATCTTTTCACGTGTCCTGCTGTTAACTCCTAAAAAAAAAAAGTCATGTTACGAATATATAGAATTGTATAATATAATAAACTGAATTTTATACCTGAAAACACAGAATTTCATAACTGAATACACATAATCTTTTTTGAAAGGATAATACACATAATCTAACATAATACACAGTACACATAAACTTAACTCTTTTAAAAAAAATCTCATGTTTCGAATGTACAAAATTATATAATAGAATGCACAGAATTTTATACCTGAAAACACAGAATTTTATAACTGAAAATTCTCATGTTTTGAATGTACACAATTATATAATAGAATGCACAGAATTTTATACCTGAAAACACAGAACTTAACAAAACGACATCGTTTTGGGAAGCACGAGGCGCACGGTATAACGATTGACAACATTTATACCATGGACCCAGATCCACCTTGCAAGGTGAACTCGGATAAAAAATATGCAATTTACATATTGAATGTTCACAATTTGAATTGTGAACATTCAATATGTTAATTGTGTATTTTTGGATCCGGATCTACATTGTAAGGTGGACCTTATTTGCGCGAATCGTCCACTTATTAATTGAAAAGACACCCTAGTTCCCCTTCAAAGTAGCAGTTTTTTTTTTTTTTTTTTTTTTTTTGCCTTTTTCTCCATTTGCATATATAGTTCATCTTGAAATGTGACCTATTTTAGTGCATGCCAAAAAAGAGAAGAAGAAATGTGCACAACAGATTTTACTGGAATTAGACAGAGAGAACATTATACACTCAAAAGAGTGAATTTCATTTCATTGAGAATTATAACTCACCAACTTCCTTCTTCCAAGTGATTTGAGGGTGGGTGAACTTGCCCGATTTCTGAGCAGAACATGTTCATTCCCCATTAGTATACATCGTTCTCATAGATCAAGGAAGCATGCTTTTAAACTGTATAAGCAACAAGATTATGATGTTCCTGAACTACACCGAAGATCAGATTCGATGAGCTAGAGGCTTCCCTGTGCAGATTTGGGATGTCTAGACCCCTCTTCGGCAGTCTTTGATTGCGTTGAAACTCGTTCAGGTTGGGATTCAAGAGATGTGGTACCATGTTGTACAATCTGTTGGCCCTGCATTATAACAAGTCAGTCTCAAAATACACACAATAAACGCAATCAACAAATAAACAAACTCCAATTTCTTAAAAAGGTTTTAGCTTTATCATCCATAATATATTACTTGTTTGACCCAACTTCAAAAAGAATAAGCTATGACAAACACTAGGGTCCGTTTGGAAACCCGGAAAATGACTTCTGGAAAACGTTTTTCGAGTTTTCAGTGTTCGGATGCAACAGGAAAATCCAGTCAACGGAAAACATTTTCCGTTGACTGGGGAAAATGAAACCATTTTGGTGGAAAAATGACTTCCGCCAAAATTTGGGGGAAGTCATTTTCCGCCAAAATTTGGGGGAAGTCATTTTCCACCAAAATGTTTAAACATACAATTATACTCATTTTTTCCAGAAAATAAACTAAACACATCAAGTTTTCCAAAATGCAACCAAACATTTTCCAGAAGTCATTTTCCTTCTTTCCAAACGGACCCTAAAAGGAGAGGCAAAACCCCACTTTTTCAAAAAGTTTAGGCAAAAATTTTTTTTTGAGACATTTAAAAAAGACTCTTTATCAAGAAGCTCTTGTTGGGCCAAACAAGGCACATGGACTTCTGAGATTTACGGAAAATTGGAGCTAGAGGTGGATACTCCTAATCGGTGTTAGAGAACAATTATCATATAAATATATTCAAGACAACAAGCATGTGCTGATGCGGACTTCTTTTCTATGTTACATTAAATGATCAAGATTTTGAGCAGATATTGCTGCTCACCTGATCTAGTTGCTCCTGCAAATGCTGGTGCTGTTCTTGGTGTTGCTGAACCTGGGGATATCCTCCCTGTTCTTGTTGTTGCTGCAAACTATGCGATATTTGTTGATTCAGTTGGTATTGCTGCAAAACTTGCTCATATCCTTGTTGATTCATTTGGTACTGGTAAGCAAGTGCCGGTGATTGATTATACGGCTGCATTGATTGGACCATCTGTTGATATTGCTGATTATGATATTGTTGCTGCATTTGCTGTTGATACTGTATCTGTTGTTGATATGGAAGCGACTGAAGCTGTTGGAAAATCGGGACTTGCTGCTGATAGGTTTGTTGATTAAAATACGGTTGTTGATGGGGGTAGGACTGCTGCATTTGCAGAAACTGCTGTTGATACTGCTGATATTGTTGCTGCAGAAGTTCGTACTGCTGCTGAGAATGATATTGCCACATCTGATCGTACGCTTGGCCTTGGTGTGCGTGCCCAACCTGTTGGCTAGTTTGCATTGTGTTTTCTACGGTATTTCCTTGTGCGGAAGAAACGGGTGAGGAAAACATTTGTGGTTGGTTTTCCGAGCCATGTTTAACTGATATATCCTCCTGAGCAGCACTTTCCCGAGGTTGGATGTTTCCTTGACCGGACTTCTCTGAAACTAGTGGGAGTTCGGGATCACCTTGACCATTCTGTGTCTGTATAGGATGGGTGAATTCTGAACTTCCACTGCTAGTTGAGGGAATTTCTTCACTACCATGATGATTGGAGGCCACAAGAACTTGACCCTCGGGTACTTGTTGAGAATCTGGGGAAATTTTCTCCAAAGAAACTGATTCCAGTTGCTTTTCGAGCTCAAGTTCCTGCGGACATAAAATATTCGTTGACCTAGCTTCTTCCTCAGAGGTTTCTGGAGGCACATTTGGTCCCGATGGCTGTTCTTGCTCAGGCAGTCTCGATGCATCTTCTTTGGATTGACGTTCAGAGATAGACGTCCAGTCCATCTGTTGAGGACAATCTTCTTTAGGTCGCGGATCCAATCCATCAACTAATTCCATTTGTTTCGATGCATCAGTTTTTGATTCATCATCAAAGTCGACAGAAACCTTTGGAGATAGTTGCTGCAACTTTTTATTTGCAACATCATCATCATCCAGTGTCGGGATTTGCTCTGCAGATACATTGCTGGGCTGTTTATCGTCTACCAGTGGAAGCGAAGGTAACTTCTCCTGCTCGGGCTGCCGGATTAGATCGCCGGAACTCTGATTTTTAGACGACAGATTAAACGGGACAGAGGAGTTGCTTTGTCTTTCTTTTGATGTGGGGTATTTATATAATGGATTGACCCTTATGAGCTGGGGAAACAATTTGATGTGAAGATTCCATGCCTTCTTTACATCGTGGACCGTTCCGCAAAGATCAACAAACTGCAACAGTTGATTGATGGTTAATTTTCTGGAAATGTTTTTCTCGACGCCTTCCAAAGTAAAGACATAAAAAGAGAAGAAAACCGAAGACATCCAAAAACTGCAATTGGTGCAAAACGAAACATAAAACAAACTTTGAGAGTGAACTCTAACCTCTAAAAATAAAGTTGATATATACTCTCTATCTTTTATATCCAAACCTTGGGATCCATCGGATAATGGAGAGATTGCGGTGGTTATAATTGAGTCCATGATGCTCAGTTGTTTAGCTCCATCATGCATCATTGCATGTCTAATCAGTTCCTGGAAAAGTAAAATCCATCATTCGTTTTGCAGGCCTCGGGTTCCATAACAGGAGGTTTTGAAATGGTTATTATTTTAAAAGCTTTTCTTATGATGGCATATTCTCAACAGAATACAGTCCTTAAAAAGATCTTACTTTGGCATAAGTTGAAGGGAGATTTTACGTAGAAGATCACAAGTTTGATTCCCAAGTCCCAACCCCCTCAGATGTATCCAAATATAAATAAACAAAGATCTTTCTTTGCCTATCAGCAATAAACATAAACAATGGAAAGAAACCGAACTATGAAAGCCAGCCCTCAAAATTTCCTAAAACCAGGGCCTCTTGACACTTTCAATGTAAAACCAAATAAATAAGAATACAGAGTAACCCCAGCCAAGATGGCTAAGGATACAAACTTGTAACCACAAGGTCACGAGTTTGAATCCCAGCCCTCTGGGTTTGAGCCGGTCAGTTATGGACAACCTAGGCTGGTTTACCTTCTTATGATCCTTTGCTGGCTAGGATCACAAGGCGGGGTTTACCGTTTACCCAGTGCACGCTCTCGGATAGTGGTTGCGGATTTCCCTCCAAATAAATAAGAATACTAAAGTACGAGTACACCTTAGAACTATGAATCTATGATAACCGTAAAAGGCATAATCAAGTAGCTGAAATTTTAGCCCCAGCACACTAGTTTGCCTTTCATACAACAGAACTGTTCTCTAACACCATAATAACATACCTCGTAAAGAAGTCTGCTGTCAGGTACCTGTTTTATTCCTTCTATTAATACATCTCTAGAAGTGTCTGCGCCACCTGTGAGCTACCAACGAGTGGATGCAAAATAATGTATCAAGAACTCAAGAAGGCATTTTGGAATTGACACATAAAATTAGTAGCTACCAATATAAAGACATACACACATATGACACACTGTTGATTGGCACACTGTTGATTACCTTCAAAGATTTAGCGTCACTTAAATGAATGTTGATATATTTATCTGCCTTCCCAGTGACAGTTTCATGGTCGCAATTCAGAAATAAACAGCAAACCCTTCCACTAATCTTAATAAGATACAGTAAGGTCTCAATAATTGATTTTTTTTGTTTTTAACTTTTTTTTTAGCTATCCACTGTATAGGAAGCTAACAAAAGTAAGATCTCAAATCATTTCTGTCAGCAGATGCATATTGAAATATTGTAGATTATGTGCATTTTCTTCTCCTAGCTAAAAGATAGTGTAGCTTTTTTAACCAGTCTCTCCTCCGATCTGGCGGTTGAGAACAAAGACATTGAAGAAGAATTTTCTTAATGATGGGAGGAGAAATTACAGTTCGGGTTTAAGTAAAACTATTTAATCACCACTTTTTTATGCTGCAATGTTGGGTATACTCAAATTGCATACCATGTGTTTAAGCCGATAATAATGGATGTATAGCTTTGGAAGAAAATGCTGTTTCTCCTTATCTGGCATTGCCCATCTAAGCGCTTTCTCATAAATCTCGCAAGCTGCTTCATCATTTCCCTGAAAATTTCAGTAGGCTAAGTCACCGTAACTCATTAGTGAGAAACCTTTTCCAGATTGAGGGAAATTCAAAGAACTTAAGACATACCAGGCGCTTTTCCATGTTTGCTTGTTTTACAACACTTTCAATGAAATAGATATCACAGCCTGAATCATAATTAGAAAAGGATGCACGAGCACCGCCTAAATCCCGTATTTCTTCCTTGAATCTGGCAGAGAAAAGATGGATCCCTGGAACATTCTGCTAATACATATTAAAATATGTCAAAAGTCTCTAGTCATTTTCAATTCACAACCCCAACTGGCTGATTTCTCTCCCACTATAGAGTATGGCTCATAATGACAAATCCCCCATAATAAACAAACCAAAATTCAATGACTTAATATATTAACAATTTAACATGCATCTGATGGATAAATTTTTGGTTTAGCAAGAACGAGCATATACTTATTAAAAGCATAATAAGACCAATCAAGCAACAGCAGAATATATAACAAATGAAGTGACTGATGTAGTGATGTTAATATGCCATTAAAGTGAATATTAGAATAAGTACTCAGAATTATTTATGCATAAATAATAGAACCTTACATTTAGAAATACTGTTTTTGCCCGCTCTATAGCAAACAATGCCAACTCTCGTCCCCCCTGAGCCTCCATGAAGTCCACATAGCGCATCCAGAATTCAGGGTAATTAGCGCATGATATCAAGCATCTCTCATAAAGTTTCAGTGCCTGCATACAACGTACATTGAACTCTGAACTATGACAAAACAGATATTCGAATAAACCTTGATGAAAAAGAAAGCATACCCAATCAAAATCCTCTTGCTTTTCAATAAAGTCAAGATACCGATGCCAGTTGTTTAGTTGATCATCGTCTATAGGAGTTATATGAAAATAACGCCTTTGGATATTTGATTCAAAGCTTTTTATTTTTTCATCGAGCTGGCATGCTTTCTGATACAGCTGATCACCAATAAATTTATATCTATGTAATGCTTTACACCTCACAGATATATCACAAGGATCCCAGAGGTCATTGACAACCTGAGAAATTTCTTTGTCAGATAGTGCAGATGCTCCATTATACAACTCTTCTGCTTGCACTTCAAGGTTTCCATCATTCAGAGATCGAATCTCCTCCTCCAAAATGATTACAAGGTCCTTAAAGCTGGAAAATGTATGGCACAATATTTCAACTGAGTCATGACAAAAACTAAGGTGACAACAGGGAGTTAAGCATACTGCATTGGAAGTTAAATGCATAAATATGAACATGTAACCAATCAAGAGTTCAGGTTGAACTTTATTTAACTACAATATATACAAGTTAGTATAAGTTAGTTTCTGTTGACTTGATGGTTAATATTGAAAACTAGCAACATGAATATTTTATTACTTTACTCTTAGAGATCTTTTAGACACGCACACACACACAAAGAAGTCTTCAGTCTCCCACTCTCCCATCATTTAAGTGTAACTCCCCACACTTTTCACTTTTGAACTTGATGTCAAAAATGTGTCAGCAAAACCGAGCGCACTAATTTCTTTTCATATAACTACAGCATTTAGATTACAATAACCCTCCAGTTTTATTGGTTTTTCTTCAGATAGGTAAATGTAAAAGTCAGACACTGCAAAACTCCAACATCAAGCAAATGGGGGGAAAGAAGGTACTTCTGTCTTGAGAGGGAAAAGCAGTTTCATTAAATACAAAATTAATAACACACATGGCATGCATGTACAAACAAACAAAAATCATTAACCAATATGGATGTCAACATGAGAAATAGAGAGCAAAAGGAAGTCATACATTTTATAATATTTCTGTAGTTTCTGTGTAGGGAAGCGTAGAGCCTGAGCATAAACTTTAGCAAGAACGACCCACTTCTGCTGGGAGAATTCAAATACCATGTATTTGTCCCATAGCACATGACAATAATAATCCTTCCCTACAATAGCCAAGCCTTTTCGAAACAATCTATCAAACAAAAGATATGGAGATGGATATTATTCAAATTATTATAAAGAATTTGTCTCAGTAAATATGAAATAACCACACTGACATGCACAGCCAGAGATGATTGGCAGCCAAAACAAATTTGGTCCTAAAAGCATCATCTGTTGATCACAGATGCATGTAAACATAACAAATAATTTAATAGTGGATCACCGGATCCATATGTTTGAATATACTCCAAAATATTTAGAATTCTTATGAATGAGTAGAAGACTGTGACTCATTGTAACAAAAGCAGATACTATTATGAAGAAGATACGTTTTGCTTCTGTACCTAATTAACTGAAAATTCTCAGGTTATTCATACTTCATAAGGAAATGTTCTGTGTATTATATGCAGTTGGAGTGTTGAACATTGTTCATGCATAAATCTGTTGTTATAACTTCCTCCTCCGACCCCCCACCCCCGTCCAAAACAGAAACCACAAAAGAACGCATCCTTTACTGTGAGTCTGTAATTTGAAACTCCAGACTTAAATTCTGAACAGGTACAGTTTTTTTCTCTTTTGTTGTTTGAAAGCTATTTTAAACTCTATTCTCAAAAAAATGGCATTTCTTCATGATCCATTTGGAGCCTTGATGATTTTTAAATGGGAAGCCAACTACATTACGGGAGTGATTTGGAAACTTTTACTGGTATTCAGTTAGAGCATTTTCACTATGCATGAATAGAAATGTCATAAACGCGATATGTGAATTTACTTTCCAAGAAAATTTTACTACAGATTATTATTGCATGACAATGTCCAAGAACTTACCTACGAACATCATCTGGATCATCAGAATAAGTTATGGCAAAGTGGCAATATTCATACCACAAACCGACAGAGAATGGTGTTAACTCAACTGCCTGCTCAAAGGTTTCAACAGCCTTATCAGCATTGCATAGCCGGGCCTTGTGATAAGCATATCGCTGCCAATACCAGTGACATAATGGGAACTTCGACAAAAGGGAGTCATAAGCCAAAGAAATCATATCTATGTCATCCTGAAAGAATTTCAAGAGCAGATTTCACTTGCACAGTTGCACCATCCATGAAACCTCAAAATAGAGTTGAATATTATATGCCCCATCCTCACCCTCCTTTCACCCTCATACACAAAAAAGCTAATGCACATAGCGAAAGCTTCTCAAAGACTGTAATATCACAAAAGAAGTATACACATAAATACTCTCCAACCACTTTTCCAAAGAAAAATTTTATATTTTTAATGGTTAAATATTAATTTCAGAGGAAGTTGATGACCTACTAAGTGCTCTACAATTACTATCACTGCACCGAAATAGATATCAGTAATTCTTGTGCACTATCTTGGTGCAGTTGTAATGACAAATACATATCATTATTTATTCCAAATTTCATAAAGAAAACTGGCCCTCTGAAATCTAACAAAAATGAAAAACAAAGAGTCCAACTACATCAAAGCCCATTGATTTCAGCAAATGTCAGAAAGTGGTATCCTTGAAAGACTTCTGCTTCAGTAAACAAAGAAAAGGAAAAAGAACTAATATCCCAAAGAACGGTCATTTTTACCTTTTCCATGAATATATAGCATTTCATTCAACAAGGTCTTCATCATTTTTCCGTTCTCAAACTCCCAAAATTTAATACTAACATTTCTTTGTATACATCAGAAGAAAACACAAGATAGAAAATTACATAAATCTAGACCACTCCTACCATATCAGCAAAAAAGAGAGGTTTAATCCTGTTAGGAGTGTCAAAAACATAAAGACCATGCAATAGGTGCTCATGAAACAAACCCTCTTCCTCAACTGAATGCAGAATGAGATATTTTCACAATCAATAAACAAACCCTCTCTCTATAGCTCCAGTACACTTACCCAGTGCATAAAAGGTGATCACAATCCTCACTATGCCTCAAACACAAAAACACACAGATCACATATTCAACTCTGTTCTGATATACTTGGGTTCTCCAAAGAGCATTTAAAATAGACACGGTTTCTGTGAACATGTCATGGAAGATAAATACAGTGCACAATGAATAGGAAATGAAAACTCCCAACAGGATCAAGTACTATGGATCAAGCTGTGTCCATTTCTCTCAATTTCAGGTTATATTGTTCTTAAATTCGGAATGTTCAGCAATTTCTACAAATTTGTAAGACCAATTAGTATTATTTTTCATACTTTTTAAAACACAAGTCAGTTGGTTTCTATCGTCACTTGTAACCTGTAACATAGTAAACCTCTTACTGAACACAAACACAAATAAGACACCAAAAATGCCCAATGCATTCTTGGCACAGTTCACACACCATAGTGCCTGAGACTTCAGTTCTGAACATTTTTGTGTTTAGACTGCTATCATCAACTAAACCAATTTCTCAAAATGCATTTTAATGGCTTCAAACTAATAATTGGTATAGAGCCCAGTCACCAACTATAAGGCAGAGTATAAGTTCTGTAGAATAGACAACTTACAGGATGAATTTTCTCAATTTCTGTGATCAGTGAGTTCCAAGCACCAAAGTCTAGTGAGTCTCCATTAATCAGTTGATGAAGTCTTTCATGGCAGCTATCTACAAGACAAGAAACATAGCTACATTTGTGGCACCAGACAACCCCAAAATACGCACACATGTGATAAGCCATATGCTCTCCTAAAATTTTGGGTAGAAGTAAATGTACCAGGGAAGTACTGCAGAGATCCCAAAATTATGGACATTTACATATATCAATAAACATACTTGAGTGTAAAATAATTCAAACACATAAATTAAGTGAATTTTTTAAATGAAAACAAACACTGAAAGAGTGATAGACTTTTTAAAAACAAGCAACTATTCCAGGGTATTTGCACCCAACTTAATCAGGAAAATTTTGATTAATGATTATAGTAACATCAGCTTAGTTAGTGAATTTATTCAGAATCGAGGAAATTATAATCCAGACGATTGTTTATGTTTTCCTTTAAAACAAAATCATTGCTACTTCTTTGTTTCAACGTTTTTTTTTTTTTTCTGAAAAATTGGTCAAAATGAAAAGAACTCTAATACCACTATTGTACTTGTTGGAGATCTGTGATTCAGACAAAAAGAGGTTTTGAAGAGAAATCAAGTAATCAACACATTTTCCATAAGACATCCACCAATTAAGCTTCTGCTGTAGACATTTTCATAGAAAGAGATATAATTTCATCATTTAAATTATAATTAAAGTTAGGAACCCTCAAAAAAAAAAAAAAAAAAAAAAAAAAAAAAAAATTGTATGCCGATGTATAATGTAAGAGATAAGTACATATCCATGTACAAGCATTTATGAACACCCGTTTCTTCAATGAAAACCAAGAATCCAAGTGTGAAAATTAGTAGGATTATAAACCTGCAACTGATTGAGCTTCCTCTAAAGCATTTTCCATTACGACATCACCTTGAACTTTCCTACTTTCTGCATTAAATTCAAACGCGGAGATGCAAACTCGTTAAGGTCACTGCAAAAGATTCAAACTTTGGACATATATCCTGAAATGGCACCCCCGCATACACACATAACAATCTAAAACCATCGAGCCGAGATGAAACATCAGAGTTTAAGTGAGAAAATAGGTAGCTGAGCTTGAACCTTCAGAGAATTGGGGTCTGTTTGCGGCATCGGAACTCTGAGAATCCATGTAAAGCCAGAGAGAGTGAGAGATTACTGACACCGGAACTAGTTCCCGTCGTCGAGAACTACGACAACTATGACATCACACTCGATGTACGGAAAGGTAGGCGGCTACAGGTGCCGGAAAACGAGAGTGTCAATGGAGAGCATCCGAGCTTATTGGATGATAATTTTCATTTGATTGGGTAATTGGGGTTTAAGGTCGTAGAGATCAAGCCGAAATTATTCGGTAGCAAATCTTGCACTTCTGTATTATTTATTGTATTCAAACTTGTTTTTGCCAAAGACTCGTGGTCACTCAAGAGGCATGAACTAAAAAAAAAAAACTTGTTTTAGTTTTGACATCTACATCTATATTTATCGAGTTAATAGCTAATATAGTCCTCGATTAGAGTAGTTTTACTCAATTTAATTCTAAATAATTTTTTTATGCTCAATTTAGTTCTCGACTTTGATATTTTTACATAATTTAGTCATTTGTTAAAATTTATGTTAATTGACTGTTAGAAATAAGGTCCTAATGATAATTTCTATCACTGTATGCAAATATTTATTTATTTATTTATTTATTTATTTAGGGTTGAAATTGACTTGGGGATAAAGATCTCCACTTCTGCGTGGAGTTTAATAAGGGGAAGAAGAATGAATAATCTCAAATGAGATGAATGATGAGAAATTATCATTAATACCTTATTTCTAACCGTCAACTAGCAGAATTTGCAACAAAGTACTAAAATGTGTAAAACCATCAAAGTCGATGACTAAATTGAGCACAAAAAGTTATTTAGGACTAAATGAGTAAAACCAATATAGTTGATGACTATATTGGGTATTAACTCTATATTTATCTATACAAATCTAAGAGGTGTATTCAATCAAGACTTTTAAACACTTTCAAAGACTTTTATGGGCTGTTTGGTTCACGAAATAGGCCTGGAATGGCATAGCCTATTTCTCTGTTTGGTAACCACTTGTATTTCCAGGAACATTGTTTCTGGGAATGACCTATTCCCCTTGCAAGGGGAATAGAGATTCCTAAGGGACCCCTGGTATTAGACTATTCCTGAGTTCTAAAGAATAGCCTAAAGTTTCTATTTCTTATTTTACCCCCAATTAAATTTATTTCCTATTTCACCATCGCCGCCTCCACCACCGCCACCGCCACAACCACCATCACCACCGCCGCCAGCACCACCACCCCAGCACCGCCACCGCCACCGCCGCCGCCGTCCCCACCACCACCAGCACTGCTGCCACCACTATCGCCACTACCGCCGCCACCGCCCACTATAGCCACCGTCGCCGCCCACTATAGCCACCGCCGCTGCCGCCACCATCGCCGCCGCCGCCACCACCACCACCACCATCGCCATCATCACATATTTTTATAAGGGTATTTATGTCTTTTAAAACATATTTCATTTCTATTCATTAAATCAACCAAACACTATAATATAATTCATAAAGTCTATTCCTTCCGCGAACCAAACAATATAATACAATTCCTATTCTATTATTTGCTTATTCCATTCCTTATGGAATAGCATTCCTATTACCTCAAAAATCATTCCATGAACCAAACGTGTTGTTAAAGTGATGAATTTTAAATGATTCTTATAGAACTTTTATAAGCTTTCTTAAAATCCTTTAAACTTTCATCACGAGTCTATACAAATTCGTATGACAAATATTTATAGATTTTTAAAAACATTTTCGTATTAAAAAGTCTATAAAATTATTAAATTTCTAAATTAAATACACCCTTGCAAATATTCGATAATTTCTATTAATACATTATTTATTATTTTTTACAAAAATATATTTTTATAAATCATAAATAAATTAATGCATTGCAAAAAATAAAAAGAAAATAAAAAATAAATATTTATTGTCACAAAAATAGAGTATATTATACATAAAAAATATAATCAATTTTCACTAAATATAACCAATAAAATATTTATTGAACTAATGAAACAACAAATGTTAAGTAATATAATTATCAAAATGTCTTGAATGAAAAATGTAGGAATTAAGGTATTCATCTTGTTAGTACAATTATATTTGATTGACATTGCTTTCACCTTGTTCATGTCTCTCCACATATTCAAAGCTATTTTAGCCTGCATGCTCTCGTTGTTGCTCTTGAGATTCAAATAATTGATCAAAATTATCTACCTCATTCATTGGGAAATGTGAAAGAGATTCATTATTATTTAGCTCAATTGGAAATACATCATATAGCTACAACACTCCCTGCGAAGAAAATTATGGTGCCAACAATGCATAATTTCCATTAACTTTATTTTTACCTTTACTCATTTCTTGATGTACATCTTCCATTTATAATTACTATAAAATAAATGAGAATCTCTCAAAATATTCAACTTAACACAAATACATATATTAATAATTAATGAGCATTCAATTACATAAAATTATGTTAATTATATATATACAAAAATTGAGTTAAAATTTTGGGTATGTTAATTCTGTTGCGACCAACAACAGCTTGCTACTGGTCGCAGCAAAAGATTTATGTTGTTCGCAGCAAAAATCTATGGCAAACAGCAAAAATATTTGCTGTAAACAACCGCAAATAATAATTTTTGTTATGATTTATTTTATAAATATGTATGAAAATAAAGAGATAAAATAAAAAGTATATGAGTATTTATGAGAGGTTTGAAACGTACGGTAAAATTTGATAGAAATCGATGAAAAGTTTGTCTAGTTAGATAGAGGAAAAAAAGTTTGTAGAGAAAGTTGAAAAGTTTGGGTTGGAGGGTTGAATTTCATCTATTTATATTGATGAAGAAAAAAATCTATAGAAATCCTATTATGATAAAGTCTATAAAAGTTAATAAGTTACTATATTAAAGTCTGAACCGAATACTAGTATACTTTTAAAATTTTTTGAAAAGTCTTAATCGAATACCGATAAACTTTTAAAGAGTCTTTAAAAGTCTAAATTGAATACCACCAAACTTTTAATAAAAATCTTTGAAAGTCATTAAAAGTCTTTATTGAATACACTCCCCTAATAAAAACCAATTAAGTTAGGCCTTAACGGGAACTAAAAAAAAATATTGGTGCAATTCATTGTTGAAATTAATGGTTCATATTATTTTGATTTTAGTATTTTTTTTTAATTATTTTCATATTTTATCCTCTGTTATATCATATACTTTTTCTAAATACCCTTGTATTCTGTTAGTGTAGACTTTAGTAACAGAATATTTCGTTAACTATTTGTTATTATTAACTAGTCATTAATTTTCATAAGGAAGGCCTTAGGTAAGTTAGGTTTGAACCTCATCCCAATCAAAATTGACATCATTGTTAAACATATATTATGAATATGTTAGAGTGTATTAAAAATACAATTTAAAATTTAACATGAACCTTGGTCAATTATTTAGAATCACGCATTGGGCAATGCAGATTTGGTTTTGTTTTTGAAGGTGCACTGCGCCAAGACACTAAAATTGCAGTGAAGCACACCAAAGGACTAGATTGAATAGAATTTGTTTCTGGAGGAAGTGGCAACAAGATGAAGCATGAATCACGCCAATTAATAGAGTTTTGTGTTGCAAAAACTATGCTTTGTGCATTTTTAAAATATTCGCTTTTATGAAAAAAATCGATAATCTTGCATTGATATACGTCAGGATACCGAATGATACTTTGATAAATTATGAAACACTAGTTTAAAAATACACATTGGGCATTAGGCTATTTGCGCAATGTGCGTATGGTAACTAGTGAGCTAAATAAGTATGATTTACCAGTAAAATATCGTTATTGATCTGACCATCGTTAACCGTCGTTGGCTACCTTGACCACCGTTCACTGCTGCCACTAAAAAAATAAAGCATCGATCGTTAGCGACTGAACAGTCGCTTTTCCACCGGAGAATATGACCAACTGTTTGTGACACCCCAAAAATTTATTCTTTAAAGCCGAATTAATTACATAATTAATTCCTATTTTTGGCCTCACAATTTCCTCTATAATTCCCATTGAGTATTGTTAAGGGACCAAATTGACCAAATCCCCTAGCCTTTTAAATGTGGTCAATGGGTAGACCTTGTGCTTTATTCCTTGTACTCTAGTCTTTAATTTTCTCCTAAATTGCTTGTGGAATGAAAATGTCCTTTTAGTCTTTTCACAAATTCTAACTTGGAACCCAAGATATTTCCTAGATTTCCACCCCAGTCTTCCTCACTTAGCCAAGAAAAAACCCCTCTCTCTCTCTCTCTCTAACATTCTAGCTTACTCTCCAAGCCACTCTAAACTCTCCCATCCTAACCAAAGAAATCATTCATCTTCCCTACCTAGAAGGCCATCAAGTTTCCACATTTCTCCATCTACAACAAGTTCTAGGCTTCTTTGGTTTTATTTCATAGCTTTTCACCTTCTTTATCTAAGTTTCTCTCTTTGATTGGTGGGTTTTGGTTTGTGTATTAAAGATCAATTGGAGGAGGACCTTCAAGAAAGATCTTAGGAGTTTGGGAAGTGTGGAATAGGCTAAGAAGGTAACTCATGTCCTACAAAATCTATTTACACTTGCTATTTATGATTTATTAATGCTCTTAGTGATATGTGCATATTCTTGTGATTATGACTTTGTAGAGCTTGTATCTAGGGTTCTCTAATGTTATTTATTGAGTTATTCTATGTATCCAAGTCCCTTTTGTTGTTAATGTGAGTTTTGAGGTGTTTGGACTTGAACTTTGAGCATTCTTGCAATTTTTCCCCGAAGTGTTTTCTCCTCTCTGTTTCGGTACCAGCGGGACCCTGGCGGGCAATTTGCCACCCGCCAGCCCACCCGCTGGTACAAGGGTAGATGGTGGCGGGGGGTTCACGGGTGGTTGACTACCTGTGGTACCACCCGCTGCGGGGTGTTGGGCGGGTGGTTTGCCACCCACCAAACCGCCCACTGGTACGTTGGTTCTTGGCCTCCATTTTGTTGATCCATTGTGCACTTGTGTGTCTTCGTTGATGTTTCGTAAGTCTAGAACGATGTCTTAAGTATCCTTGGTATGATTTGTAAGTCTTGAATCGTGTTGGTGATCCAACTTTATGTTTTGTTGGATTGAAGTGAAGTCTATGATATTAGTTTGAGCCTTTATGATTATCTTATTGATTTGCATGCTAGCTACGTTGTTTGTTGGTACTAGTATGTGTCTTCCTCGTAATGATCTTACTTATTCTTGATGAGGTTTGGTAACTTGTGATTACCCATCATTGTGGTCTTTTGATTTGGAAGCCTTTCGTTATTGTGGCAATACTTTGGAATGTCTCCTTTGCGTTCTTTCTTGAGTTTTTCTATTAGAACCTATCATTGTGAACTTGTACAATTGCGGTACCTTATCATGATTATTCCTTGATTGGGCTATTGTTGAGCCTTTATTATCTATGTCGATGACTATGTGTTATGATTGATATGAGATTGGCGGTAATGAGCTTTGCTCAAATGATTGGCAGTATATTATATCATGTTTAAAAGCTGGCGGCAAGCAGGTGGGGAGCATAGTCTCTGGTGGTATAAGGTTGGACTGGTGTATAGGGTGGCCTCGGAGGTACAGGTTGGAACTGTTATAAGGATGGAGAGGTGTAAAAGTTGGAACTTGACATAAGATTGGAACTTGACATAAGGTTGGAACTTGATCATTGATTATGATTCTTGAAATTCTTTGGCTTATGAGCATACCTTTATGTGATCTTTTGATTGATGCTTGAATACCTTACCTTGTTGATTATCTTTGTATACTTATCGTTGTCTCCTCGAATTGATTCTATTGTTTAGCCGTATGTTGGTCGGCATGATTGAGTGTATCTTTCGATGAGTCAAATGATACTTCTATCTCTCTTATGTTTTAAAAACTAGTGTTACTAAGGCTATACTTATGTATTCCAAAGTCTCAAAAGTGGTTTTCTTATAAAATATATTATATTGTACTCAACGCGTTGAAGTGGGTTACTTAGCAATTTTCGCTAACGGTTGTTACACCTTAATGCTTTCCAGGTACAGTCTAGTCGGTTCGAGAGTGCGCAAGTTGGAGCCGTTGAGCTAGAATTAGTTCCTTTGTTAGACCTTAGTTTTGGTGGCTTGTGAGCCGTTTTGTCGAACTTGACATTATGATTAGTTTACTTTGGTTGAAGATGATTTTGGCATGTGCATCTAAGTCTTTAACTTAGATGTGGCATAACACCCCAGTACTAATTGGTTTAGCTTCCGCATTACTTTAATGATTTTGGTTAGTTATTGCCTTATTACTTAAGCTTAAATGGTTTAATTTACGCTAAAAATCGGGAGTGTTTAATGACTATTTTTCTCTTAGTGCAAACTCTATGGTAAACGGGTAGTTTGTGAATTATCTCGAATAATGACTATTTCTCTTTTGCTTTTATCTTCCTAGTGCACACCAATTAATAATAATGACTTTTTATTTTTTTTTCACCTTATTTTTAACCGTAAAATATTTTCAGATAAAGCTAAGAACAATAGAACATCCACACTAGAGCATAATTTGGAGTTATTTGTACAGTAAACCTCTCAAGCCCAAGCATAATAACTGATGTAGGTGGAAGTTCTTTAAAAAATAATTGGCCTCCAAGGGGTGGAAGAATGTCAGAAAACTAAAAAAAAAATAAAAAGAAAGAAGGCAATGAAACGCAACTGCGTCTCACCGCCCACCCAGCGGGCGCATGTGATACACGCGCCCGCCTAGGCGATTATTAATTCTGGCCGTTGCTGGCCGAGCAACGGCAAGAATTATATCTGTTGCCAGCAACGGCCATACATTTCTAGCCGTTGCTGGCAACTATTACTTTAATATATATATATATATATATATATATATATATATATATATATATATATATAAGTACCACTTGTCTTCACAATTTTTTCACATTTTATCCCACCATCATTTTAGCATGCAATACTTATATTCACCACCAATCTCATTTACACCACTCAAATTCTTGCACTCCTACATTCTTATTTTTCTTATACTAGCAAAATGTCATCACCTCCTCCTAATTGGGATCTTAATTGGGATCCTATGGATGGTGATAGTAGTGATGATAGTACTGATGAATCAATTGCAGAAATTGATGAACTTGAAGAAGAAATTATGAAACACATGTTGCGGTTGACAAAGCTAGTTCAACAACATCAAAGTTCTTCCAACCCGAGAAATAAAAGACGATACTACAATAGGGACCATGCGGCAGGCCACGATCGTTTAGCCGCTGATAACTTTTCCGATGATCCAGTGTTCCCTGACGACATCTTCCGCCGACGTTTTCGAATTAGGAAAGAATTATTTTTACGCATAGTCAATGCATTGCAAAGTCGTTATGAATATTTTCAACAAAGGGAAAACACTGCTAAAATGACCAGTTTATCAACGCTACAGAAATGCACCGGCCATTCGACAATTGGCATATGCTACACCGGCGGACACAATGGATGAGTATCTACGCATGGGTAAAACAACTGCCATAAAATGCTTATTTCAATTTTGCCGAGGTGTCACTAAAGGTTTTGGCATTCAATACTTGAGAAGACCAAATGCAGAAGACACCGCTCGATTGCTTCACATGCATGAACAAAAGCACGGCTTTCCGGGGATGTTAGGGAGTCTTGATTCATGCATTGGGAGTGGAAAAATTGTCCGGTAGCATGGAAAGGTCAATTTACACGAGGCGATCATGGAGTTCCAACATTTATGCTAGAAGCGGTCACATCAACAGACTTATGGATATGGCATGCATTCTTCGGCGTCATAGGTGCTATGAATGATATCAATGTTTTAAATCAATCGCCTTTATTCAATGATGTGTTGCAAGGAAATGCACCGGAGGTTAATTTTATTGTGAACGGTACGGAGTACAAAAGAGGTTACTATCTGACATATGGTATCTACCCACAATGGTCGGTGTTCGTGAAGAGTTTTCCATGTCCGGCAGACCCCAAAAGAATATTGTTTAAACAAAAGCAAGAAGCAGGTAGAAAAGATGTAGAGCGGGCATTTGGGGTGTTACAAGCTCGATGGGCAATGGTTTGACGTCTGGGATGATTTTTGTATAGGGAACACTTGAAAGAAATAATGTATACTTGCATTATTTTATACAACATGATTCTTGAGGATGAATGTGAGCATGTAACTACTTGGGTGGACGAAGAAAATGAAGCAACAACAGAAGCGTCCCAAGGATCAACCGAAGAGTTTCAACAATATTTAGAAAGAAATGCCGAATTACATGACTCGCAATTGTATCATCAACTTCGCGCGGATTTGATTGAGCATATATGGAGCAACAACGGCAATTAATTTAACCGCTTTTTGGTATTTTAATTGTTATGTACTTTAATTTATTTTCACCGCTTTGTAATTGATTAATATTAAACCGCGTTGTAGTTTAATTTTTTAAGTAATTAGTTTTAATTATAATTTTATTTTATTTAGTTTAACCGCAGTATGCATGTTTGATGTTTCACTATTTCTTATTAAAAATTAAAATATAAATAAAGTAGATAAAGAAATAAGACAGAAGTGTCAAATAGGCTCATCTACTACTGTGAAGTTCTCAATCCCACCACGAATTAAATTAAGTGTCAAATAAGCCCATCTACCAGCTAAATTTGTTCGATTGAATTTTTTTTGCAAGTTGATAACATGTTGCCTATTCAATTATTAATATATATATATATATATATATATATATATATATATATATATATATATATATATATATATATATAATATTAAAAAAAAAAATCAGGACAGCCGGTGGCTGCGTATTTCACAGACAGCCGTGGTTGTCTAGCGAGGACAATCGGACAACCACGACTGTCAAACATGAAGTTCAGATCTGGACCTCAAACGGCCTAGAACGAGGGCGGCCGTCGCCGCAGCCCTCGTTCCAAACGGCCATATTTTGCAATATTAAAATTCAGGACAAAAAAAATGAAGCACATATCGAAGGCTTGATGGGTAATCGAAACCCTATGGAGCTCATGTATTGTGCAATATTAATATATAGATAGATGTCATCCATATTTTCATTTCAATTGGTGAATGCTTTTCGATATCTCAAGTGGATTCAGTATGGTATGAACAGTTATCTATGTTTCTACATACGGAAGTTGAAAAAATTAGGGATATTTTACACATTTGGTGATTGTTTATTGATTAGTTGAAGCGCATATCGAAGGCTTGGTGGGTGATTGAAAATTTGAAAGTTTGAAATCCATAATTTTATATATATATATATATATATATATATATATATATATATATATATATATATATATATATTTATTTATTTATTTATTTATTTATTTTTAATAATTGAATAGGCAACCTGTTTGCCATCTGCAAAAAAAGCCAATCAAACAAATTTAGTTGGTAGATGAGTCTATTTGACACTTAATTTAGTTCAGGGTGGGAATTGAGCACTTCGCAGTAGTAGATGGGCCTATTTGACACTTCTTCCAAGAAATAATTAAAATATAGTGGGTTAAATGGTGGTCCACAAATAACTGAGAAAAAAAACTTAAAACTGATGTAGAGAAGAGTTTTTTGTGATTGAGTGAGATAGTGAAAGATGAGGTGGATGCTGAGGCCCACAAATAACTCATAAAAAATCCCAACTGATATTGATGCTCTAAAGTGATTTCTCTAAACTTCTCACCTATGACAATCTTTTCAGTAATTTACACCCATCAAAAAGTGTAAATTAGACAATCTTCTCGGTTGATCTTAGGGTCCGTTTGGAAAGCATGCAAATGACTTCTGGAAAATGAGTCATTTTCCAGAAAATATTTTCTTTTCCGACTGCACAACAGAAAACTGTATTTGTGTGTTTGGTTCATTTTCCAGAAAATGAGTAGGAAAATGAGAAAATTTGTATACTTCAACATTTTTTTTTGAAACATAAAGCAACTGTATGAAATGATATGTTCAAGCTAGTGTTCCATATTTATTCCCATATATAGGCAAAGTATATGAAACAAAGTAGATCTGTGATGGAATTAAATCACTCAAATAGTTTTGAAGCCTCAGGCCTCTGGTAAAGCAGACATGCGAACCAAACATTTATTGCTGCAGTTATCCCCACGTAAGTGATTTTCTCCCAGGAGAGGCTTTCGTTGGTCTGATTTTTCTCGGAGGACTGCAAAAGGGTCTTGATGAGGAATCGTGCGGTGGCGGAGAGAGCGCAAGTCTGATTTGCACGATGGTCACCGGATGGAGATCGTGAACGGACTTGCCATTTATTCCGGTGGAAAGCAATCTGATGAAGCCCTTGCTAGAGAGATATGGGTTGAAATTGTGAGTGAGAAGGGTGCGAAAAAGGGATTCTCGCTGAGATTGAAGTATGATTTGGTGCCCCGATTTTGTATTGGATTTTGTAGATTTGGGCATTTCTTGAAGAAATTGCAGCGGATAGGAAATTTGCAGTGGAGAAGTCGCAGGCGAAGATGGTGAATAGGCAGAGAACAAAGTCTGAAAAATGACTTCCATAAAAAAAAAGGAAGTCATTTTCTGAAAAAATGACTCTATTTTTCACCTAACTTCAATTTTTTTTTTGACTTTAGTGTTTTCTTACTTACCAAACACTGAATACTCGGAAAATGATTTCCAAACGAGTTTCCAAACACACCTTTATTTACACCCATTTAAAATAAAAAATATGAATTAACTGTGTTTGGTTGGAAGGATAGAATTATGAACGAAATGAATAATTTTGGGATAAAATAAAGGAAAATGTCTAATAGACTCTCCATTTTTAAATGAGTAATACTACACATACTCCTATATTATACTCTATTTTTTACTCCCTGCTTAAATGTTACACTTTGATTCATTCAAAACAATATGAGCCACAATTTTTATTACTCTCTTTTCGTCTTCTTCCAATAAAATCAAGGCACGTGGAGAAGATTTACACGCTTGGAGTACATATATAATTTTCCTTTTTGAATAAAACTTCAAATTATACTTTCTCCATTTTTCCCAAATGTCCAAAAAGTGTTGTTTTCAGTCATCACTGTCAAGCTCACAGGCTACAACGCTAGATCTAGAAATATTGACAGATGGCAACCCATGAGGCCATGACAATGTTATAGTGACTCTTTCTTTCGCAGTTACCGATCCTTCATTCTGAGCTATATTGATATCTCCTCCCACAATCTTTCCCCAATTAGCCGGCGACAACGCAAAAGAAGCTTAAAGAGAAGAGAAAATGCTGACTCTTTCTCTATCCTATCCATCCCGCTCCTCTCTCTACAGCAATCGCTTGCTTTCTTTGAAGTCTCCTCCTCCTTTTCACCGCCCCACAGTTTCCCGTTTCTCTTCTCAATCCCCTTCGCTCCAAAGTTCCACCTTTCTTGGCTACAAATACAATCCCCTCGGGTAAAAGGTTTTCAATTTCGTTTTTCTTTATAGCATTCATGGCTTGTGACCTTAGTCTGGGTTCACCTGTTCAAAAAAGTTTTGATCTTTAAATGAGAAATTCTTGATTTTTGTTTTTGTTTTCTATTTGATATGCTTCTGTTTCAGTGTTTCGGTTGATCTCAAGGGAGGGATGAATAAGAGACTGAGAAGTGGAGTGGTTTGTTACTCTGCGGCTCTGACCCCTCGGAATCTCCATTGGGTCTGCACTGTCTCCTCTGTGTAAGTACATATCTTTCACTGTTTTTGTTGTTATTATTTTTTTACTGTTTGGGCATCCTTTCTTATTTGTAAATGTTTGGCAATAAAAGTATAGCACAGTCTCTGGTCTTCCCTTTATAGCTGTTATCTTGATCTTGGATATTCTCATTTTCTAATAAAATTTCAATTTTATCATGGTTTATAGCTAAATGTTTTTTTTTTTTTTTTTTTTTCAATTGATTCCTACTTTCCCAAGCTGAAATGATCAGTCTAGAAATTTGGATTGGGCCTAAAGACTCAATGAAAGTATAAATATTTGCTTAGACATAAGACTATATGATGATTCTTTTCCTCCCTTTTCCTCTGAATCCTCACATGATTACTATTACATTGGGGCTAATTTTTAGGTCAATGATGTTTTGTATGAGTGTCAAACTTGCATGTTTTACTCTCACAATTCTTGGATTCTCTTCCTTAGGGTTTTGATGCTTGCTAAGGGAACTTCTATTCACAAATCTTTTCTTGTTCCTTTGTTTGCTTTGCAAGCCCCTTCAACTCTCGTCTCATGGATCAAGTAAGCCTCTCTCTTAATTTTTGTGGTTTATCGTCATGGTGAGTGCATGCTATTAAATTCCAAGCTTCAATAAACAAATTGAACATTGATTTGCTGCAGGGGTGAGTATGGCATTTGGACAGCATTCTTGGCACTGCTTATTCGCCTTTTCTTCTTCTTTCCTAGTAAGTTTTATGGTAGTTTCTGTGCTTTGTTATATTGGTCACTCTTTAAGTATTATAGTATACCCAATCGACATTAT